TTAACATCAATCTTCTGTTCTGTATCCGCGAAATGAGACAGAATAGCGCTATGAATGGATTTTGTTTGTCCTTTACTTAACCACACCGGGTGATGTTCAGAAATCCGACGATAAACACGCGTAAATGTACGGCCTATGTAACTGGCTACGCAGGAGAAGGATCCACATTAAGAAACGTAACTTATGCATCCAAAAGAAGCTGGTTCAGACACTGTCCTTACGTTGGTCGTCAAGGTTCTAATGATCCTCAATTTGTTGTGGAAATTTCCTTAATTTTATTTGATATTCTATTTGCTATTATATTTTTATGCTTATTGTACTTTATGCATCTTTAGTGAACTGTAATTCCATTGATCTTACTTAACAAATCAATATTATTTAAAAAACACCATATTGTTATTGACGATTATTCTAGAGTATTTCCGGAGTTCGAGTCCCGCTTCATCTACTTAAGTTTAGTCAACTGAGTAGTATCATTGCCCCTCACAAAATAAGTATGGCTCATAGCTTGGAATATGAAAGACTTGTTCCAAGAACTGAGTTCAAAATCTCTGTCTGTCTGTTTTCGACATAGAACTTTGCACATATGTGCGGCAGTTCAAGTCGCCACAATCCATGTAGCACGCAAAGCAAGAGAAGGAAGTAGAAGAAATGCAAAATATAGACAGTAAACAGAGGTGTGAGACAAAGGAATAGTAATAACGGAGAACAAAACAGTAAGAAATGAAATCCAAGTGAGCATGCGCCATATTCCAATTGTTTCCAACCATTGGTTTTTACCATCCCGAGGGCCCCAACCAGGAAGTCTACATCTTCCTACGTGGCTTAGATTAACTGTTGTGGATTTCATTGATTGGTGCCATGTTTTGGTTTGACCGCCTAGTTTTCCAGCCTGAGTTCAAAATAACAAGGAATATCCATAGATATTATGAGGTTTAATCATAATGTCTTGCACTTAAATTTGAACGCATTCATTGACTTTCATACTTTAAATAATAACAGTTTACTATGATGTGCAGCTAAAGTGGACTATACTCCGAGCGAATGATCGATGATAATCTTTCGAAAACTGACACATTGCCTCACAATATCTTAAGCACTAAATCAATAGTGCTCGTAAAACATGATAAGTAAAGTACGCACAACGTCATTTCATAACTATGCGTACGGATAGGCGAACAAGTGTAAGATCAGTGGAGAAAAGTAAAAGAGCACTTCATGAGTTCAAAAGCTTGTCCATAGCTAAATTGCATTCAGTTCAATCACGAATCACAGTCTCTCACACCTTAGGTAGACTCCAATAACAGGTATCATAAAGGGTAGATATAGAAACATAGAGTTTATATATATATATATATATATATAGTCGCAAAAGTACTAGCATGTTGTTAGTATGAATATTATATATCTTCTTGTTTATATATATAGCTGTTTAAAATAAAAATGTATTTTAATTAGAATGTAATAGTGAAGAAATGCACCTCATTATATATAACTACAAGTTTATAATTAATTAAATTAACAGAATAAAGCGTAAAAACAGGAAGTTGGTTCAGAAGTTAATTATAACAATCCTGTTGTAGCTTCTACTTTAAACTGGAAACATCCACTAATTAAAGCTAAACGTCAATTAAGTGTGTACTGTTTATTTTTGTTGTTGTTGAGTTAGCTGGTTTATCCATTGGACTGTATTTCTTATTTAAAAAACTGCGTTCCATTTATTTACTGGAATAACTCAACAAAAAATTTTAATCCTATATTACTGTGTATGGTGACTTGAAGTTTAAACCTCCCAAATTTTCAGTCTCAATACGAAGTTAGCACTTCTATGTAATACAGAGGCTTGGTGTGTTACGGCAAGCGTTTCTAACAGACTGCAGACATTTGTCAATGGCTGTCTTCGCTTGGTATCGAAGATCATATAGCTGGAAAGGATAAGCAACAAGTGACTCTGGCAGGCAGCAAACCAACCAAGAATCTGTTGCCTACCGAATGTGCAAAAGGAAATATGGGTGGATGATCGTCGAGTGACACCACCCTCGAGTAAATGGTGAATGGAAGGCGACGAGTCAATCGTCGGAGGATGATACAGAGGGAACCATGTGAGGAGGAAATAAAAGCTTACGGGCACAGTCGTATAACTCTCTGAAAATGATAGAGAACCAAGTGCAGTGGAGATGTACTGCCAAGGCCTTACCTTCCCCTCAAAACTCAAGGAGCAAATAGTAATAATAAATAGATTGCATATCTTATTGATGAGATCTGAGTCTAATACATCGTGTAAATCATTTCATTTAGATTGATGGTCGGTTGAGTCGATCATCCTTGAGTATAATTTGCATCACAAACCTACATTAATCGTACAAAATAGGAAACCAAGTTGTTTTCCAAATGGCTTTTGTTGAACTTTCAAACCCATTTTAACAGTGTCGATTACAAAACTCTATTTAGGATGTGTTGTTTTATTAGGAGTGATTTTCCTTCTTAACTAATAAATGCGATCGCTTCACAACTCGTCACGCTAATATTGAGATTTTTGATTATCTACTTTGGATGTTGATTGTATGAGTGACTGATAGTTAGAAGGTGAGTATATGTCTCACTGGCTTAAAGAGTTGACTTTTGGGCAATTGATCCCGAGTTTAAATCGCACCCTACCTACTCTTTCCTTAGCAATTGGGTAGTATAATTAGCTGTCAAACAAAAATAAGTGTCTCGTAGCCTCGTACTTGGGAAGTTTTCTTCAAGAAAGTAGTTCTGCGAAAGATGTATAAGTCAAATTAAAAGAGAGTACTATATTGTCTCTCACTAGCGTGATCACTCAATTGTTGGTGAACAATAGACGAATTGAAATCTTCCCTATTGATTTAAATGTGGATAGCTGGGTGGTGTATGTAGTGACTACAAATCGTTTAGACATGACTACAAAATCTGGATGGATTTTCAATGAATTTATATTTTAAATAAAATTAGTTCACTAACTATTAGAATCTTTGTCGTCTGACAATACTTTTGATAAAAATTCATAATTTTACATCTGTGCTTAAAAGTAGGTGATACAGGAGTCAGTTATCATATTTTAGTGTAATTAGAAAATACTGTAGCAGAAAAAACTATGAGAGCAAACTGTGATAGAACAAACTGAAAGAGAAATTTGAATGAACTAGTATAATGCAGTAAAATGTTTTCTATTTACGCTATGATGGTGATGATAATGTCTCACTTCGTTTTGTTTGTTAGTTTTCACTTCTTTCATTATTATTAGTCCCCCAGCTCACAATTAATATGCAAATTACTTGTTTTGTGTTTATTACTTTTCAGTTAACAATTTAGGTTTTAAGTTAATTAAATATGCTTACTATTTTGTTGAGAATTCAGTTGTGACAGGATGCCTATTTGTGACTCCCTATCTCAGTAATTTTTACATGGACATTGACTAACATATTCAGTTTCTTTTCTTGTGTTATCTCTCGATTTTGGGTTTCATTTGATTAGATTACTCTTTAAATTTAGTTCTGAAAACATTTTAATGCATGATTTTCACTGTGTTTCCTGTTAGTTAATTTCGTAAAATCTTAATAACTGTGTATCAGTTCTCTCAATGACCAGATTTATTGACTCTTCGGCGGTTTAATGTTTTTTGTAAAGCCTTGGCTTATTCACTTGACCTTTAGATAATAGTTCTCGGGTTCGAATCCCTCCGTCCATCTCCTTAAATCTGGGCAGCTGGGTTGCATCATCAGCCCGCACACAGTAAGTGTGACTCATAACTCTTTACATAAGAAATCTGTCTCACGATACTGAATTCTAGTGTGGTGAGAGCTGGCTGCAAGCCAAAATTGTAGACAGCAATTTACGTCAATGTTACGTCCCGAATCGGGGTCATGAAAAAAACAATAACAAAGATTAACCTTGAGGAACTCACCAACCAATCACAGCAGACTTAGCGTATGCAAATAGGATTCGCAGATATATGGCTTAACTCTCTGAGAAACGGTCACAAACAGTACAGAATAACCTTCAGCAAGCAAACAACCAATCAGAAGACGTTGCTTCTCCGTTGACAATAATGTACACAAAAATCTATAAATATCTCTTGATTTTCTCAATAAACGATCTGTTGCCTGACCCTTATCTTCTGTCGTTACACTAGTAACTTCTGACTTTGCAAGGCCAACAGTTACATACTGGTTCTTCCTAAACCAATTTTAGCTTACTGTATACATACTGTTATTATTATTCGTGTTGTACTTATGTTTTGGGTTTTAACAAAATGTTGTTATTGCTGACTTGATGTTCAGTTTTTCTTTGGAGTTTAGTATATTTAAGTATACGTGTTACATAATAGTCTACACGAATGACAAATGGCTTGCTTATTCCAGCCTATTCAACTTTTTAGTAATATCAACCGATAATCCAATAGGCGTTGATTTCAGCCTGAAATGTTTATTATAACGTGACTATTGACGTGCATTAGTTATTTATAGTTATCTATGGGAATTTACTTCCTACAACTTATTGCCTGCTTAAGTCTAGTCAACTGATTAGTAATACTTTTACTGGCCCTCATCCAATAGGTGTAACTAATAGTTCGGATAACGTAGAGTCTGTTGTTGTCTATAACAAGCATACAAGCATAGTTAGTCGTCAAATTATTATTACTCGTAAAAAAAAGTAATGGTGAAATTATCTATACACATGAAAATTACACTGACGTCAACAGTAAAGCGTGATATCGACTACTCATTGTACAAGATCTTAGTGACTGAATGTTATTTCATTTTTGTATTTCGTGATATTGGACAACTTATGCTAAACACTCGATTAAACAAAAGTAGAGTCTGCTAGTTAGCATTGTGATTGATAATTTTATTTATTATCGAGTTTTTCCCCCTAAATTCAACATTTCTTATTTTACCTCTTGTAGATGATACTCAAGTCTAACCAATAATTCATATTGTATATATATAACGCAAATTGACATATAGTGTGATCAAACAATGTGCGATGAGGTAAGTGCGTCCGTTATGTCAATATATAGTCTAATGTTGTGTGCATTCACTAAATCCACTGTGTATGTGTGTGTGTGTGTGTGTAACAGCAATACACACACTTGTTTCATTTAGTGGTTGATGATTGAAGGTGAAATGAAAATCTTAATCGCGGTAGCTGTTTCGGAATTAGTAGTCTGGCGCTCTGCCTGCGCAGTTGAGGGACTCAACTGCTAACCAGGTCATCATTTCAGTGAGATTACCAGGTGTAATGTTGTCATGTGAATGAACAACACGTTGCTCTCCGTTTATGACTTCTTCATTTTCAATCATCAGCCATTACATCAATAACAGTTTATCAGTCCAAGACTATCTCGTACAGTCTCACCACCAATGATTGTTTCAGTTTGTCAGATTAAATATATTTGTCCGTAGACTTTGAAGTTGTTTTAATCATAATTCATGTGTGCATATGCGTTGAAAGATTTGACCATGTATTCTGAATGCTTTCTATTTCAAGCTACGAAGCAAAAATAAGGATAAGATAGAGTTTCATCATCTTTACTGACCATCGAAATCGCAGTAAGCAAGAATTTAAAAAAAAAAAAACTATCATTGAGCAATAATCAATTGTTATAATGTGTAGTGCTAAAATTTAAGAAAAGTTGGGTATTTTAAGCCCTTTTAGTCAATATAGTGTTAAAAATGTTTATAAATATACCGTATGCAGTATCTTGCTTTCTTTGTGATGGCTTATTCGTAAATTATTGGTAAGTGAGTGTTAAGATAACTTTGAAGTTATTTTCAGACTTTGGGTTGTTTCAATATTCACCATCCAGCCGATAATATTGGATCTACTCCTTGAAGTCATTCTCTAAGGAGCCTTTTTTGCACTGTTTCCGATGGTTTATTTTACTAAAATGAACATACGTCATGCATACACTAATTTATTTTCAGCTCAACCGCACAACTACTTAATGCTTTACTATTAGTAAGCAATGTGTAAATAATCTAAGACTAAAATCAGCAGTCAGTTAATTTTTATATGAAAATAGAAGTTGTTTGACCCAGAATTATTTATTACTTCACGCCTCATTTAGAGCGCTTTTTAGCTGCCTGAAATGTTTCACTAAAATAAAAACAAAATAATAAAAATAACAAAAATATTTATTACGACAACATGAAAGTCGGTCAATCAATAAGGTTGTGAATTTTAATCGAAGTAAATTAGTCAACATGCTCAAACACTACACTACGGATCATTGAATTAGAAGTCGGTACAGACTAGTCCTACAATACTATCTGACTTTTGACAGGGGCTAATTGCATTCCAGCATAGTCAGATTTTCGCTTAGGGTGTTTGGAAGACTATTTTAACCAATGTCTTCACCTAAAAGACTGTCATCTGCGTAATGTAGATTAACGAGACTTTTACCTGGTAGCAAGTTTATTCCTGAGAAATCGAAGCTGATCAGTGTCATATCCATCAGTTCAGTTATAATAAATAAGAATGGACACCTGGTTGTCATCATTTCAGATGACAGCCTTACACAACTTCTTATAAGACTGGCATGCGTTTGAGTAAAGCACTGTGATTAGTGCAATATGAGTTTTGGCACTCTCTTCGCAGCCATTTATTACCACAGCATCTTTGTATTATTGGAGTCATATATCGGCTTCAGGTCAAGAAAAATAACATGTGTTGAACACTGGTAAGTATGTCTGTTTCCCAGAATCTGTGGAAGGATGAAAATACGATCAGTACGTCCTCATGCGGTCCTTAAGTCTGATTGATTTTTCTGCGAAAGACTATGGAACCTAGAATCCTAGATGTTACGTTATTGAAGCTGATTCCCCTGTGATTATCACAACAATATTTGTTTTATAAACTGGTAGGGTTAAGAGTCTACATCAATGTGACAGAAAAATCTCAGATTCCCGTACACTGGCTAGTACCGTAGTCAATGTAGCCAGTAATTCATTACCACCGTCGTTAGGCGCCCCTGAAGTCAAACCGTGAGGTCTGGCTGATTCACTTTGTTTTACAGTAGAGAAAGCTTTTGAAATCTCCGTCAATGTTCATATTCTATAATGGTAGAGGTCGGGTGGCGGGCAGTTGTAGTATGGCTGTTTAACTGGTCTTCAAAGTGTACTACCCAATGTTCCAGTAGACTCTCCTGACAAATTATTGAGTTTCTATTCATCTTGGTGATCACTTCATTTGCCATGGCTTTTTTAGAAATCGTTTCCTCAATGAACTTGAATGGTTAACGCGTACTACCAGATGGCTTTTCTATTTCCCTCACTTTTATCGCCTACGAGTGTCCGCGGTCTTTGTGTAGGCTTTTTGTCAGCTTACTGTTGGCCGTTGTACGCGTTAAGTACTGTTCTGTACTTGTACTGATCGTAAAATCGATGCACTGTTAAATAGTGGTGTTCTTATGAACATTCTGATAATAACCAACTTATCTTGTCTTGATTCCTTGGAGCAGAAGAAGTGATTAAGCGACATGAAGGTTTGCACTGATTCTATCCTCTGGCACTATTCAGGTAGGTAGTTACTTGGGGTTCTAGTGGGCAGTCATGATCAGTAGGGTGCAGCAGGTCGGGTGTGAGGACAAATACTCTCCAAAGATATTGGCTAGCGGTCGCGCTATGTAGTGATATGGCAGAAGTTAGAATTCATGGGCCATTGGATCGGGTCCCAGTGGCTTAATGGTCTACGAGCTCGCCTTGTAACCAGAAGGTCCTGGGTCCGAACCCCGGTGGGTGCGTACTGATGAAGAGTCCCAAAATAGGCTGATGAAACAGCTGTCCAGTACTCCCAGGTTTTCCAATGGTTCTCTAACTGATGTGAGCTTATGATGAAATCCTGTAACCAATCAATCAAATTCCTACAAACCAATACTTGAAAATCTATCCTCTTAGTTAATATAATATATATACATATCTTTATTTAACTTTCTTGAATTTTCTCTGTGTACTGTTTAGTTTGTATATTTTCATGAATTTCTATATGCCTTATAGAGTTTGCCTCTTATTCTTGTTCACCATAAAGGGAATAGTAGTAGGTTCACTTCCCTTACAAACTTCATGCGAAATCACCATGTTTTTGTAATTCATTTCAACTTATTTGTGTTTGTGTGTCAGTGAAAATATCATCCCACTTACTGGGATGCAGGCACACCCTGCTGAAGAATACTAAGTAGGATAATGTGGCTTGTTGGCTTAAACACTCGGCATCCTTAGGATCGAATCCCACCTCATATCCCTCAACTTCAGACTGGACGGCTTGATAGTGTCGTTAGGCCTCGCACAGTAGCTCATATCCTGGTACAAAAGTATAACTACGAATTATGAATAATTAGCAATATTATACAACCCGTTAAAACATTGAAGCATACTAGGGTTTCTTAATTACTCAATCCTTTAAGATGTATAATCGAGTTTCAAAGTGTCTGACAGACATTGGTTTATTACTGTATTTATTTTCTTGATTAATAATCATCAACTTTATTTTATGTAATACTGTTTATGTCGAATACTATACTCAGATATGTGTGTTATTAGCGAATGGTGATCAAAGGTATTTTATTCCAACAGGTTTGTTCTTTACAAAATTAATGGCACAACAGAGAGACTATTTCGTGCTATTTGATTTACTTTTGAAGAAAAAGAGGAAGAAGGTTGTTATCATTCAGGCTGAATAAATAAGCATTTATATCCAAGGCTTTACACAACTTTATCATTCTGATTATTGTTTGTGTTGAATGTGCTTGGTCTATTTGTTGGTCTCTCTTGTTTTGCATTTCGTTCCTAGTATTGTTTTCACCTTTAAAGTATTTCGGTAATCGTGATGTCTTATTTCCTCATCTTAGTTACTATCAGTGTTTTATTCTCGTGACAGTCTAATTAGCAACTGTTTAGGGTAAGTGGTATTCAAGACGGAAGATTGTTGTTTTCGGTGTTGTTGTTGTTGTTGACAATGATGACGACTGTATTTCTTTGAATTTGTAGTAGAAAACAAAATGACGTAAAACATATCTGACTTAAGTTTCCTAATATTACTTTTACTACACAAATGTAGTGTGTTTATGTATTGCTGTTGCATAAACTGGTTAGTTAGAACCTAGTCACTGTGTACCAGATTATACGCCACACGTATTGCTTGAGGGCTGATGATAACTACCTAGTTGTCGATGCTGTGAATCAGGTGCAGCTGAGAGTCGAACTTGAGACCCATTGGCTGGAGGCCGTGAGTGCTTAAGCCAGTGAGCCATGTACACAGACGTTATACAAACCGTATGGGTGTATAGTTTGCATACTTTCAGATACCTAATCCACGCCGCTTTATTACGGGTCAGATTAATGTAAAAATCATTTATGTACAAACAGAATTATTGTAGAAGATTCCCCATTTCATTTCATTGTTATGACTTTGCTGTTATTATTATTATTATTTTCTATTGAGCTCTTAAAATCATTAAGTCTTGACTGTAAATCATTATTGATTTTTTATGAGTATTTTATTGTGGGCCTATCTGTTATATTATATTATGTTATGCAAATTCGTGCACTAACAGAGCACATGATCCTTTGTGCGTGTGTTATTTTGTATTTGTTAACTGCATTTTACACTGATCAATAGTACACTGAAATGAGATTAGGCTTTTACATTCATAGAAATTTACATTCATTCGAATTTTTTTATTATTTTACTGTATGTGTGGATATTGGTCGACCAACTGATTGATCACAGATGATCAAAGGAAAACAGACGAAATATATTTTAAATTGATCTACTTCAATAAAGCATAAAGCATATCGAGCAATATAAGTGGATTAGTTTCAGCTGTACCATTGATGATTTAAGTTTTTTTTAGTCATCAGTCTGTTGTTCGGCGTCCCTGTGTGGTTTCATACTGTCAATATAGCCAACATTGTACTCTAGGGTTGATCTTAGATTTACACAGGGCATGAATTACCTTTATAGGTTTTTGGTGTTCTACAAATAAATTTACTATTGCTTGTATCACTTGCTTTCGATGGTTCTGTGATGAGAAATAGAATGCTGATGTTCTCAATTTTTCGTGGACTAGAGAATCTATTGTCTGGATAATTTTTATTTGATAAAACTTGTAAGATTTAGTAATTTTGTCTCATACAATTTGATATAACACATTGTGATACACTATTAATAAGTGTATGTTATTTCGAGCATTATTTATTACTCGTAGGTATATTAACGAATTATTCTGGAGATTCTAATCTTACTTAAGTAGTTTCGTTACTGATACTGACGCGAAAATTAATGAAAGGTTTGCCTGCTATTGTGTCTCCACTTCGATGTTTGTTGCTTGAAAACCCTCTGACTCTCTGTGAAGAATTTTGTATACCGACCAGTAGTTTCAGTGTGCTTCTGTGAAACAGGCGCGACTGCATGTAGTGATTAGGATATTGTTAAAGGAAGTACGAACTTAACATTGTCTGATTCGGGTGTATCACTTTATAGAGTGAAGATAAGATATTGAATGAAACTAAAATTCTTTATCATCTACGTTGACCAAACTATGTTTTATAGCCTAACTTACATCGTAAGTTTTAAAGAAAATCGATGGAAGGAAACATAAGGCTTGCAAAACAATGGATACGTTATGACTTAATGTAGTTAATCACTTTTGGACCAAGGTGTTTTTTTATTATAGCTTGATTCCACACCGTATTTTTGGTACAAATATGAAATTTTTAGCATGTGATATCGGTAGCACAAATTTAGCAGGCCGACCATTGATATGAGGTGTGCGTCGGCAGGGGATCGAACCCCGGACCATGTACATGGTCGGCGAGAGTCCTAACCGCTGTGCCACCGACTCAGTGCTTATCGGTAGTCTGTGTCAATGAGAGAACTGTTAAATGCTAAGGACCTCTGGGCATGTTTCTTTTTGGCATAGGGCTGTTCAATCGTGCATATCTACGACAAAATTATTAAGAGTTCAAATTAGTACCCTACGACCAAGAGGTGTAAACGTTACCATAAAGCTACTGGGTTGGGATTCGATGGTCGATGAATGCACACTCCCTTCGCTTCGTAGCATAAAGCAACGGATGTCGATTTTTGACAAAATCCACTTTGAAGCCTAATCCTTGAACAGGTGTTTCATCTTAGTATTATGAACTCGTCGGTTAGGGAAAGCTCAGTTTTTCAAGTAATTGCAATTGTTGAATAGTTACTATTGTCTAGAGGTCTAGTTAGTGACACTTATGTATGAATAATTCTGTGTGTCTGGTATTTGTGATGTCTGTGGTGGAAAAGTGCCTCAACACACTAGTTAGAACGACCTTGCTATGCGATTTTAAGGACTTTTATTCAATCAGTAGCACAGATTGTGAATTGGTTTAACACAACTGCGATGATGACTATCTTGACTTTGTGAAACAAATACGATATTTTACAAAAAGAATCAACATTCTCGCCGACTGACTAGTGTCAACGTAGAATTTCGCGCATATGTGCAGCAGCTCCGGTTGCTACACTCCCTCCATCCACCATGCCACCATCCCGAGGACCCCAATCAATCAGGAAGTTTACATCTCCCTACATGACTGGCTTAAACTAACTGTTGTGGATTTCATTGACTGATGCCATGTTTTGGTTTGACCATCACTAGCTCTTTTCCAACCTGATCCTATGTCAGCTAACAACATTCTCAACAATGAAGCAATTCTCATAATATCCATTTTTATTCTGTATCCCGAAAATCCTTCCCTCATCTATTGTACTTTTTTCATTTCATTATTCATTCACCGATCAGTGCAGTTGGTGAAATGCTTCGACGTCTTTTAATGCAAGATCATAGTGTAGCATTTTTGCTCACTACAACGTGTCCACATGCATCGTCATTAAAATTTTCAATGCCTCATTTACAAATTAAGTTGCCTTTTTTGGTTTCATAATCAAATTCTTTTCTTTATATAGAAAATAATTATTTCAAGGGTATAATTTGTGGTAGGTCAATGTGCAAACTCTTAAGGTCATAAGACATAGTGGATGTACACATCAATATAAATAAATAAATAAATGGTTATAGTCATTTTATGCCTACCCTCTTACTTAATATTATCTCTACTACAAGAAATGACATCTCAAAATGTATTCGTTTGCAAAATATAGGTAGCATTATCATTCATTGATTTCTGTATACATTCTGTATGAGGTCACTGAAGTGATTCTTCTATTGATCATAAATTTTTTTTTTTGCATCACACTCGAACGTCCTTATTATTTATTAAATAAAATCACACCATAATATCATCCATCATTTCAGTGGTGTTGATAATTGTACTTTAAAATAAATTTAGCCTAGAATCAAAATTGTGGTTGGACACAGTTCGTATAACTGTGTAATTCTTTTTTAAAATATCTACATAATAATTACACATCTGAATAAGTGAGTTGACAAACGTGATTACTTATAGACTCTACAATTGTCTGTTTGTTAAAGATATCTGCTTTTCATGTGTGTGTGTGTGTGTGTGTGTGAGCAATCATTACTTTTCACTGTCCGCACCGTGGAAGTCGACTTCCTCTTGTATGACCACAAAGCTTAGGGGATAACTACTTCAGACCAATCTCACACGGCTTGTCCGGAGTAGCTTTAGGAGTTGTGTTCACATGAATACCTTACCGCTGGTTACGGACCACCACATGTTATTAAGGGATGTACACATTTCGGGACCAACCCTCCCTAATCCACCTCCCTAGAGCTGGAATGTAGCGTAACTAGCTTTTTGGTCGTCCGAGGGAAACATCTTACTGCTGTTATATCCGTAGTGTGAACGGATTACAATGTAATCATTAACTGCTTTTAGTCTAACCACCGTCGAAGCGACCTCTCTGGTATGGTACAACCCGCAGGAAAATTCATTCCAGTCAGTGCACCTCGTTGAGGCATTGAAATATGCAGGTCTGAGAACCACATCAAGGTAGCAGCTATGGGTGGAGTTCGTGTCATTTATTGCCCTACAGCTCCGTAGGCTAACAGTTAGTATCAAAACATAGGAGAATTCAGCTCTTTATGAACATTTAGGTGAACTGTAGTCAATATTCATACATTAAGGATGGTCCTTATCAGCAATTAGAACTAGGTGAGTGATTAGCATTTCTTTTGTATCAAGAAATTTGTGTTCCATTTATTGATAAATACTGTAAATAAGGTGAAATTTTAGTTATTTAGAATACGTCGTTTTCTAACAGTTGTGTACTTTTTTTGCTTGCCTGTTTGGTCTCACTAGATACCTGCTCACATGACATATTCGTCACTAAAGGTTGCTGCTTTTTAGTCTTTATGAACTATCCCAGTGTAATTAATAATTTCAGTAATCCCTCACTGAATTTATTATTCTTTAATGGTAATTTTTTCTTGGTTTTCGACCGGTGAACTTAAATATCCTCATATTTAATTTATAATTTCATTATTTCAAATTATTTTGAATACTAGTCATTGTGTAGGGTGACTAACTGACTGTATTATTTTGAATAAATTGCGTTTTTGTGCATTTTATTTGTTGTTTGACCGAGTAAGGAATATTCCTGCTATTTTTGATAATAATGATATAATCAATTATTACTGATGTGACCCGCCTTAGTTTTCATATATTTTCTACTTCTTCATTTTTCTATATTGTTTTGTATTTGTGATTAGGATGAAACAAGTACACCTGCTACGATCAGAGTGATCACTATCAGATCAAACAGGCAAAATACACGTAAGTTTCTCTATATTACTCTCTAATATCCATGTAATAATCCTCATTAATAATCTTAACTTGAAGTCATATTCGTAAACACTGATGGTTAATACTCTATAGAATTGTATAAATAATGTTAGTAGAATATTTTCAAATTAGTTGGCAGAAGAGGCAGCGAAGACAGGACTTCAAGTGAACCTAGAGAAGACGGAGGTGAGGAAGACACCTAACTAACAACAACAAGCACTGATGGGAGAAATCTCAAGAAAAAGACACCTTTCACTTATCTAGGCAGCATCATTTGATCTGCACGTGGCATGGATGAGGATGTCAGAGCCAACCGGCATTGGAAAGACTCAGAGATTTAACCTGCAACCAAAAAGCGTTTCGAACAGGCTTCAGAGCGTCTTCACAACAGCTGCCTTCGTTAGATACTGAAGATCAGATGGCCAGAAAGGAGTCTAGCAAACCAACCAACCAAGAGACTATTGCTCAACAAATATGCAGGAGAAAATGGAGATGGATTGGAAATACACTGAGGAAACTATTGAGTGAGCAATATTACGCGCTACGTCCTTGATTGGGACCTAAATGGGAAACGACAAGTTGGTCGTTGAAGGGTGATGTTTAGGAGATCATGTGACAAGGAAATGAAAGCATATAGGGAATCGTGAAGCCAGCTACAAAAAACTGCAGAGAAGAGGTTGAAATGGAGATATGCTATTGAAGCCTTATGTTTCACTTGGAACCCAACGGAATAATAATAATAATCAAGTGTTTTTAAAAGTCTTATAGTAAGATTCTCATTGACGACTATCACAGTGTACTTTGGGATTAATCAATAAATGGGTAAATCAGTTTTATGTTATCTCTAAATTTTGTCATCCTCTGTTGTTCCTGTGTATTTGATATGTTATTGATTGTCCAACGATGTCTATGTACCAACATACGTCCAAATTTTAATAGGAAAACACTTTTAGTTTACGATACAATTGCATAGATTTGACAAGTTTCCAGTCACTTCAATAATGAAACACAAGTAGATTACAATACTCTAGAAATGATTTACAAATGTTGACGTCAGTGTCTACTGTTTCTTTGAAGGCATATACAATCTAATCATATGAATGACATCAGAACGGTGTATGATTAGAAGTTTATGAAGATCATTGGCTATAATCTCTGCAACAGGACTTATTATTATGTTGAATCAGTTGATCTTCTAAACGATTACAATTACAACTTTTCGCTCTATAGTGAGAATGTTAGGAATCAGTTACCTTGAATAGATGTCTCATGTACCAGGCCGTGAGCCACACTAAAGCTGATGATACCACCCAGCTGCCAAGGATGAAGTAGATAGAACGGGATTAAGAGCCGGGAACGCATTAGCTAAACACCAAATGCTTAAGCTATTGAACCGCATCTTCACGCCATTAAGGATAATTTTGCTATAAGTATATGTTGTATATGTAAACATACGAAAGTGTTTAGTTCATCCAAGGATATTTTGCGAGAAATAAAAATGCAACTATGTACACCTGAATTTAGGTTTTTTCCCCTTTCTTTCAATTAACTGTAGGTCTAATTTTGTGGAGGGGTGGCTCATTGACTTCACTTGGCACTTGAATTCTAGCTAGTTGATCCCGAATTCGAATCCCACTCCATCTACTGCAACCAGATCACCTGAGTTGTATCATTAGTCCTCAGGCATGAAGTGTGGCTCACAGTGTGATACATAAGAAATCTGTTCAGGGTAGTTGGGTTTAATTTGTGCCATAAACACTAAAATATGGTGAAGTGAACAAAAAGTGTATTTGGGGGTGGGTTGGTTCAAAACCTCTAGAATGATATGGTTAACGATCACTTAAGAAAATATTTTTGAATACTACCAATCATTATTAAAGGCATTCAGTAAAGAAATTATCCATTTGTTGTTATGTTCTCGTTTAAAATTTGTATATTTTCCTTTTTATATTTTTCTATCTGCTCACATGAAATTCGGCTTTTTTGGATATATTACATGTACTTCCAATACGATGTGGCCTAACATGCTTTACCTTTTTTATTATCAAGCTGTGGTAAGTAAGAGTATACACATAAAAAGATTTTCCATTAACAGAGTTGCTTTTTTTTCTTATGTTATGCTGTGGACTCTAGTTAAGTAAGGGGAAAAACATTCTTACTCTCCCTAAATATTTATAAATTAGGTACCCTGAACACCTTTCCCACGTTATGTGATGCATACTTATTGTATGTGGGTGATAATAATACTACCCGATTGGTCAGGCTGGAATAGGTGAAATGATGTCTGAACCCTGGGTCCATTGGCTGAAAATTTAAGTACTAAATCAAGGGAATGTGCCACTTCCCACCCAAAATGCCTCCATACTATTATTAAATATGTTATGATCATCTAGTCTACTTAGCGGATTTTCTCTCTCTCCCTCTCTCAGCTATATGTTACTAGTTCTGTTGTTGGTTTTGCTTTGTTTAGAATATCTTTTTTTTGTCGCCTTACTCTTCTGTGTTGAATAACAATCATAAGTGTTACATGCCTTTTATTTGGATCCGTATTTGTTGCGTATGAACACAGTTACCCGGAACACCTCTTTTATGTACTAAGTTACGAGCTGTTGGCATTCTGCGGTTGTTTGGGATGAAGTAGATGACAGAAATTTTGAACCCTGGACTCACTGGCCGAAAGCCGAGTGTTTAAGTCAGTTAGGCATCTCTCTGCCTTCTGGTCTGTAACTCATATGAGATAAGTTATGATTATCGAAGTAATATAAAAATTCCTCACAGTTTGGAATTTATGAGTGAATTATTCACACTGAAAAAATCACAAACAATTCAGTGGAACCATGTTTTATACATACATTTTTGTTTCATGTTCAATGTCGAACTTTTCTATTCTCTTTAACGTGTAGGTTTTAGTATTTCCTAAATTAATGAGACAATATGCATACACGCGTACATTAACTTTAGCAAGAGTTTGCTTCTTAAGTTATATTTACCTAGTTAATTTAAGCCACGTAGGGAGATGTAGAATTCCTGACTGACTGGGGTCCTCGGGATGGTAAAAACCAATGACGGCTGGATACAATTGGTGAGATGGCTGGAAATTGTTTTCAATGGCGCAGATTCATTCACTCTTAATGATGTATCATATCCTATAAAATTCTATTGTTCTTTCGTATTACTATTCTTTTTGCCTCATATTTCTGTTTATTATCTCTCTTTTGAATCTGTCTTCACTCTCTTCTCTTGCTTTGTGTGTTCCATGGAGGGAGTGTGGCAACTGGAGCTGCTGCACATGTGTGCAAAGTTCTACGTTGAAACCAGTCAGTCACCTAAACGTAGTAACCACACTAGGATGAGCGAATTTCGCAGGATTGAGTGTAATAATAGGGAGGAACACTTTGTATTCAGTAACCATACTGTGAGTAAGCGTGTCAACAATCCCACGCTGCATACCAAGATACCCTGTCGAAATACATATACAGGTAGTCCTTTTCAGCACACTCCACCTTCTAGATACCTAGGCTTGGAAAAACCCGCAGTCCTGCGACCGAAGCAGCTTCCCTTACAGTATTTTTCTGTCTACAGAAACGATAACAACGTACCTAGTGGTATGCTGAATAACAGGTTGATGTGTAGACTTTGCAATCCTATATCTCATAACCCACAACCCAGCTACCACTACCCGTACATCCAGGAACACACTCCTGAATCTTGTTAAGCGGGTATTAAGTCCTGTAAAGAGGGAAGATTGGGCGTGAGGCTAACAGCTCCACTCCGTAAAAATAACACCACTGCTCTAGTTCGAAGCCCTATGTTCCACTTGGAACCTAAAGGAATATAATAATAAAAAAAATAATAAGTTAGGAAAATATTACAGAATAATGAAATATTCAGCTTAATGTAAATAACGAAAAAATATGAATAATAAGGAATTTAAAGCCTCTGTATTACTGCTATATGAAGAAGGAAAATCAAAGGTTATTCGCGGGTTTCCTAATAACGCTGGAATTAGGGTGGAGGTTAAACCAAACAACTCACTCAGGAGATAAACTTTGTCGGCTTGAGAATTCGATAGACCCGATTCAGTAAAGTAATAAAATTTACTAAATACCTTAATAGTAACTGTAAGGTCAAATACATAGGTCGAAATCAGTGGACCAGGGTCAGTTAAGTTATTAGAATATACGAACTTAGCTAAATGTAGAATGACTCACCTATCTTAGTTGAGTAATCTAGAAAGAAGCTCAACCACTGCTACGTGTGCATTTGCACAAGAGGTGGGGATAAGGTAAATGTATTAAAAAGTAGCACAGTTAGGTGGAGAGAGAGAGAGAGAGTTAATCACTGAATCTTTGAATCAACATCATATACATACAATCTAAATGATACAAGTCCCCATCCTTTATATATATATATATATATATATATATATATATATATATATATATATATATATATATATATATATATATATATATGGAAAACTGCAATCAAAACAGGTTGGAGTAAAATCATATAAAGCAAGTTATGAAGTCATGTGAAAACAATGATATGATTATTAGCAAGAAATTGTCCTCAAAACGTCATCCAGTATTTAATACTGTATTACTGTGTGTCATATCATTCATCAAACTGAAACTAATCTGGAAATCTTCTTCACTCGGCATCAACAACAAAATTCGGATTTCTAATACAAACCTCAAGTCAGTCAGTTCTTCTATACGGATCAGAAACTTGGCGGGTCACGCAGAATATTTCCAACAGGTTGCAGACCTTCATCAACAGCTGTCTTCGTTCTATACTGTAGATCAGATGGCCGGAAAGAATCACCAACAAGAAACTATGGGAACAAACAAAACAAGAACCAATCGCTCAACAAATATGGAGGAGAAATTGGAGATGGATTGGACACTCGCTGAGGAGGCCGCTGGGTGACATCAAGCGTCAGGTCATAGCTCGAGTGGAACCCGAAAGGGAAGCGGCGAGTGGTTCGTCGGTGCAAGGGTGACATGGAGGAGATCGTGTGAAAAGGAGTTAAAACAGTATGGACTAACATGGATTCAGGTGAAAAGGACAGCCGAAGACAGAAGCAAGTGGAAACGTGCAGCTGAAGCCCTATGTTCCACTAGGAACCTAAGGGAACAATAATATAATAATCATAATATAATATCAAATGAACGTATCTTATTTGGATTGATACAAGTTGTTAAGCGCCGAATGAGCCTTTTGTATATTTTGTGCTGATAATTGACCAGTAGTCAATCAGTGCAATAAGACTGATACAACTTTCTAAGTAATTGTAGCGGTCAACTTATTCAAGTACTTATACTTCCTATCCTTTCACACTAGTGTAGTCGCAAAAAAACAGCATCGATTGTATGCTAATTATCGGGATGTTTTTTTCACACATTAAAATGAGAGAAAACCTATTGTCAGTCTTTTACAAATCCACGTTTTTATATTCATAAAATTACTCTCTGTCTGCATAGTGATTATGTGATCATACAGCACTACTGAATAGTGTGAATATTTTCACATATCTCGTTTGTTTTATACATCACTGGTTAGTATGCTACAGCGTAGTCAAGTTTACTATTATCTACTAATCTAGGGATTGACTTTCATTCAGTTAAGTGTAGCCTTTATTTCTAATATTATACGCTTATTAGTTTAGGATGCATACATGGAATGCACACGTATATTCATGTTTGTTGATATGAAATAATTGGCCCGATATTACCCAAAGATGAATAGAATAATCACTAGGCGAATAAAAATAACAAGGTAGGATGATATGATGTTATTGATGCGATTAGAGAGAATTATAGAACATCATTTCGAATTCAACAGATTTTCTATTAATTAGTCAAACCATGTTACAGTTATCTGTGCATCAGATAGATGGGTGTTTACATATACATATCAGTTGGGTGTAGAGATTAATTTGTTTTTCATGTACATATCTGTATGCACGTGTGTGTGTGTGTTTGCGTGTAGGCACCAGGCATATGGGTGCAGGCCACTTACGGTTTAATCGTATGATAAATGTAACTAAAGTGTATAGTTTAATCATTTGTAATAATCGATTTTATATTATATTTGTTTCCGCCAGTTGTTTGCAATGGTCGACGCTGAGTAAGCGATTAAAGCTGTAGTAGGGCTTGGTATTCTGACTGACTGATGTCAAGGTGTGTATGCTGACCTAATTCATGCGATTTCTGTACTGTCAGTAGTGATTAATCGCGTCTTCACTTAATTATAACCAATTGGTTTTTGTTAAGTGTCTAGTGTATTTCATCTGTACTTTTACCTGTCTACATTTGTCAGCATACGTCATCGTACTCAGTGAGTATTAACATTGATGGCTGTTAGTTCGCTTTGTATAAGGTGTGTAAAAATGTTTGGATAAAATGTACCTTAGTGGCTTGTGCCTGTAATCTTTCCACGTGGAAGTCAGGGTGGGGAGTGTCATGCGACTAGAAGTTCTGAAAGGTAGGCACTCAGAAAAGCGGACTTATTGATTATATCACTTGACTTTCAGTTAGGTGGTTACAGGTTTTAACCCCACTAGCCCTATTTCAGTCTGGACAGCGCTCACATAATAAACGTGACTCGTGACGTGTTATGTGTGAAAGTTGATCCCGGTAACTAAATAACAAATATTGCATAGTACCAGTTGTTGTATAATTAACACTAACTATTTCTTCATTTTAATAAACTCTACCAACAAAATTTCACTTCATACTTTTAATACTGATCGTGGGATATGTGGGACAAGTATTAGTTTTTATCGATTGTGTTTATAGAAGTGTCGGTCACTCATCACGTTTGCTATTTCTTTTACCATCATTTTATCCTGGTATACACTAGTCGGCATATTCGACAAGCACACACATTCAGCTAGCCAGTTTGTGTCAGTCCAGTTATCCACAAAAATTTAAAAAAGTTGACTTGGAAAAGAGTTTTAAAATAATTTACTACATCCTAAAAATTGCAAAACTTAACCAGACGGACAGAGTTACTCTATCAGATAGTTGGAGGCAATCGGCAGGAAGCCTTGAACCTAGGTTTCGTGCTAGTTGGCACTCATCAGCAAGGCGTATCTGCAACCTAAGGACTATGTCCTTCGTGTCTCATTATGACAGGAAGCTGTTGAGACATCTCACAAGTTCACATAGGTCGACGTCACTGAAATCAATTTCTGATATTTTCTTATTATCATTCTCCTGAAGCCTCCTTAGTGAACATACCAAGTCAAATTATCAGACTCCTGCAGTATACATCATTCTTGCTTCTTTTTAATGAAGTTTTGACTCTCTTGCTTAAGTGACTAAGTAAATAGCATTCCTAGATGGCAATGTTAACTGAAAGCGATTTGTTTTCCCTTGGTAACCATAGATTTCTGGTTATCATTTTTATAATGTATAACTTTGTAATAACCCTTTCTAATCCCTCAGTTTTTCATTGTAATTTCTGTATAGAGTCCATCAGCAGTCAGTAACAGTAGTGATAATACTCCGTGTCGAGATTCTGATCCGTAAGTATATAATTATAATTTTGATATTTGTTGTGTATATCTTCGAATTATGTTTCATTACACATTCATATTCATTTATTTCACTGCTTTCGACATACTGACTGATATTTCACAGACGCACACACAAAGTATGAAAATTGTTTTATTCATCCTAAGTTCATATGTACAAAATGGAGTTCTTTTCATTACCTCTTTATGGGATTAATATTACATAGACTCTTAGTTCGAGTCTAGTCTTTTTCATTCCTATTCAATGACATTATGACTACTTGGTTTGTTTGCTTTCTAATGGTGAGACTGTTTAAGATAGTTTTTGGTTGGTAAATTGCTGCTGATGTAATGGGTTAAGTTTCTGACCAACGGCAACCGGATTACTAGTCCGGTACTCTACCAGAGTTGACCTACAAGACCCAACTACTAACTACGTTATTATTTTACTATACTTACTCAATTGTCATATGAATAAATGATACAGTTACTGTTTGTTGCTTTTGTACTTTCTATGAAAGCGGATTCATTTTCTTTTATTTTCCTTCTACAATTAAGAATTCTACAGCAGTATTTATGTAACACATTCTTTCATTATTAAGCACCTAGTAACCTTCTAACGGTTAACGGTGTGTACTAAGAGAGATGAGGCATACCAGTTTGGAGGTTTGTACTCAAGTAAAGTGACAGTAGAATTTATACGCGTGAATTATAGAAGAGGTGATTGATTGCGTCGGTGGCACAGTGGTTAGGACTCTCGTCGACCATGCACATGGTCCGGGGTTCGATCCCCTGCCGACACACACACGATATCTATGGTCGGCCTGCAAAATTTGGGCTACCGATATCCATGCTGAAAATTCCATACTTGTACTGAAATTACGGTGTGGCATCAAGCTGTAACCAAAAATGTAATATAAATATAAAAATTTTCTTACCTTAAATTTAAAAAATCACGAAAATGTTTTCTTTTCCATTATAACGAAACGCATTACAGTATGAATGTCATTCTTATTTCTAAGTCAAAGTATTTCCTTTGGTAAAGAATTTTGGGGTTTAGAATAAACTATAAAATTTTGGTTACAACGGGCCCCTATTCATGCGTTACAGTTTCTTCAGTTTTATACATGACGGTTATTCTGAACGCCTAGCACAAGACACTTAAAGACTACCATATAAGTTGTGGTTAGACAAAACTATCGAACATTACTAAAAGTCCACTGCTGTGGACTGATTTAAAGTCTGACCTACAAGGTAGCAGAGAAACACGAGGAGCTGCGTCGCCATGATTGTTGGTGACCGATACGGGTTAAAAAACTATTTGGTTTATTTCGGATTCTGTAGTCCATATGCAATATAGCTTTGGAATTCGGGTTCTTCAGCACCCCTAGATGAAATCCTCTATGTTCACTTGTCCACTGATGAGTGCTGAACATGTCTCCTTTGCCCTTTCGCTTTTGTAAGTATACGCGTTGAGTTTTAAAGGTAATCAATAGAATTTATGTCTCCATATGGAAGCATTTCAAGGGGAAGACGGAAGTTTGCCCATCGTTGTTCACACCGCGCTATTAATGGAGGATGGGATAACTAAAATATAGGATTCTGTATGTACAATCTAGTACACATCCTTAATGTATGACACCTCGTAAAAATCTAGATAAGTTGAATAACAGCACAGAACTTGCATCGCCTCAGGTCACCATATTTCTCAAAGCCATGCTCAGGAAAGATGCGTTATTGAAGCAAGACTCTGAAGTTAACTAGAATGAAATAAATAAATAGGGGAAATTATTTGTGTAATATAAAATGTTTCCTAATTTAGACGAATATATCAGTATCATTCATCGTTGATAGATCCAATCTACTGACGTTGTTTTCTGATGGATTTTCACCAGCTGGTTAGCACTCGAATCCTAATTCTTTGGGATGGTTCTATTCTAAATACTGACCAATTAGAAGCCTTCATGCCTTATTCTTTCTTCACTAAACATTGCATAGTAATATAATACTACTTTAGGACTCTGTTGACATATATGCTAATGTAGTTAGGTTGTTAGCTGGAGTCGACTTACACAGTATTAATATGTATTTCAATGTGTTCACCTCAACTAAATTGTCGATTGTTTGGTTTTCTTCTTTTCTACAAATGAAATCGATAAGTGCCCATATATATATATATATATATATATATATATAATACACTTTCGATCAGTAGTCTTGGGGCATTTCGGTGAAGGGTTTAGTACTAATGTCAATGAGAATATAATAGCGAACCTTGTATTTATTTCTAGTCTCGAGGATATCATCGACTTCTATTATTGTTCGTATTTATTTTACTCAACTGAACAGTATTCGGTGGGGTTGTGTCCTTTTATTTTGGGTGGTCTTAACAGCGAAGTAAGCTCTCTGAAGGTGTTGTCTAGGAGGACAATGAATGCCTTGCAAATCAATCATCAGGTTCAGTGAGCACAACAACACTGAAAGCATACACTTCTCCTACAAAGCTACTCTATTACTATTCGTAATCGGTGATTATATTTGAACTGTTTTACCTAACAGCCCAACAAAGTCGATTTTAGCACACATCTGTGATCATTCAAGCATACATCGAACAAACCAACAAAATCTGAATTGGCTTTTATTTTCTCTTTCATTTCTTTCTTTTTTTTTACTTTCTGCCTTTCCGCTACATTTACTCAACTCACTTTTATCACCGGGTTTGTCTCTTTTCATTTTTTTAAGATTGCCATTGTCACATGATCACGTGATAAAAGATTCTCATTTTATGTATTCCTTTCTTTTTATTTTGTGCTTTTTCATTCCTTTTCTACAAAATCACTTGAATTTGAATAATAATTCTGAAAAAATTTTTAACTTTTAAATTTCATGGTACAATTTGTTTCTTTTCTTTTTTTGACGTTCTTTGATGATGATTACTTCTTCGTGGATAAATAATTTCATCAGATGATGGTTAATTAATTACCAACAGATTCGCGTTATGCAATGCATAATTACCTATAAACCATTACTCATCTCTATCTTTCTCATTGCAAAGTAACAATGATTGTACAGGACAACACAGAGTTAACTGTTAACGGTGATCCAAGTGAGAAAGAATTTCTCCCAGTTTTCTTCCCATAACAGTTAGTTTGAACCACATCGGGAGGTGCAGACTTCCTGGTTTGGGGTCCTCAGGATGGTAAAAACCAATGACGTCTGGAGACAATTGGTGATATAGCTCAAAATCGTTCTCAATGGTGGCGTAGATGCATTCACTCTTTGTGATTTATCATATCCAATAGAAAACTGTTGTTTTTCCATATTAATATTCTTTTTCCCTCACACTTCTGTTTGTTGGCTGTCTTTTGAACCTTGCTTACTCTCTTCTCTCGTTTTGTGTGCTACGTGGAGTGTGTCAACTCGAAGTGCTGCACATCTGTGCAAAGTTCTATGTTGAAATCGGTCAGTTAGTCTCCAGTTTCATTTACTATTTCTTAAGTGTGTTTGTGTTAACCGAGCTGCTTGGTTTAATTGAGAAGTTCTCAGTGTCCTCCTGGATAGCATCTACAGTGCTGACTTCCTTGTGAAGTGACTCTTTGGAATTTCCAAATGAATGCTCTAACTGTCTCTTCGAATGACTCTGATTGTGATTGGTTGTCTTCAGAAGTTGTCAAGCATGACATGTATACCTGCAAATCAATAGATACAGACAACTAAGGGCACTCAATTTGACTGAGAAAATGTGAAAACTTTAAACAGATAATTTCTAGAAGTCTGGTACTCAACTCAGTCTTCATCCAACAGACTTATGATATAGATGAAATTTACCTGTCAAAAAGGAGCAACTCATATGGGGCAAAAAGGTCAAATACTACGCAATCGAAGCGATTGACATAGACACAATTTGACATAAGGATAAGAAAACATTTGAAAACAACCAATCGTAGTCAAGGGCATCATTCATGGGGATTACTGACTTCACACTGAAGTAAGCACTGAAACTGTCTAGAAGGACAATGAAAGCTTCGTAATTAAACCAGAGGAATGTAACCAAACCAATAACATCCACTTGATCTACAAATCTTCTCCATTATTTCATTAATAATTTTCTTCTTTGTAAACTATTGATTTCAATGTGTTTTATATTTCTTGTTTTGGTTCACTAGGGAATCTCTTCATGATGATGACTCATATGTCAGTGTGAAAATTGAAAAATTTCTTGGTTCTTCCATCTCTATCGGTGAATTAATTGATCAGACAAGTTATTTACAACAGTATCCTAGTTGGCTTGGATTTTGTGGTCCAGAAAATAAAAAGAAATTTGCTCCAACTTATATTAATCGAAATGATAATATCTGGGGTAGGTGTCAAATATCCGTTTTTACTATTGTTTTTTATCCTTTATTATTTTTTCAGTCATCCTCTGTTTTTCTAAACTGTTAGAGTTGTTTGGAGGATTTCATCATGAGCTGACATCAGTTAGAGAACCATTGGAAAACCAGCTGGGAGTACTGGACAGCTGTTTCGTCAGCCTATTTTGGGACTCTTCATCAGACGCACCCACCGGGGTTCGAACCCAGGACCTTCCGGTTGCAAGGCGAGCTTGTAGACCATAAAGCCATTGGCACCTGATCCAATGACCCATGAATTCTAACTTCTGCCAATTCACTGCATAGCGCGACCATTTCGCAATGTCTTCTTCGATGAGTTACTGCCTCATCTTCAACCTGCTGTACCCTACTGGTCACGGCTTCCCAATAGAACCCCTAGTCACTGCCTGAATAGGGCCAGTCGCTAGTGAGCATCAGATCGACTTTCAAGTCTTGGTTTTTATAGGGATTTTGTTTGATTGGTTGGAGGATTTCATCATGAGCTGATATCAGTTAGAGTTCTACTATTTACAAGTCTCAAAAGGAATTAAATGTTGTTCTCTTGGATTCTATTGCTAATCATTATCCACTGAAATAATATCATATTAATTCCCTGAGATATTGTCGAAGCATCCGTGCTTGGCGCCGACATGTCAACAGAGGTTTAACATCTCGGTCCAATATAATCAATCAATCAACCGGAAATACATAACTTAAATAAAAATAATAGTCGTTTTAAGGTTGTAGTTAAAATCATTTTTTGAATGAACAGAATGATGAAAGCATCAAAAAACTTTTTATTTGTCAGGTTTAATACGCTTAGAATGAAATACTACAATATGCCCTATAAATGGTGTTAAGTCAATTTGTTCACTCCATCGTTCCATGATAGGAAAAGAGTTTACAGTCTCATCGTATTCAGTAACCATTTTTTTAACGTATGAATAAAATCGTACATGGTCCATAGGATTGATATTATTTATCTGATACGGTAATCTTAAGAATTAAAATAAGAAATCGTAAGGTCACTAAAGTGATTCGAAGTAGAGATCTGTTTTTTTGTTCTTTTGAGGAACTGTATTTCAGCTAAAAACCAACCGTTTTTAATTCATTCAATCTAGATAAATAGGTGAATCAGTCATATTTGTTTTTTATTCCTTTGAGGATTGTTTTTTTTAAATTTCATTTTTTATGCCTCGAAAAGTCATCTATAAGGTTGTATAGCTAACGGGATCAGTTCATTCTATACGCTTTATAATTGAGTGTTACTCAATAGACACTTGTTTACTTCTTTTATGTAAGAAAAATACTGGGCACAAATAAGTTTTAAAAATTATATTTGCTGTTACTGACAGTAGGACTCGTTGGCTGTGAATATATCTATCGCCCAGTAGTAGCCAAACGGATATGTGCTGGATTCAAGTCGCAGTAGGAACACTACCTATCATTCATTGCGAATTTAAGCACATCTGTTTGATGAGTCGTAAATAGAACTTGGACTGTCCTTCTGGATTCCACTACTAGTCGCCATCAACCAAATAGCATCATTTTAAACTTAAGGAATTGTCAAAGCGTGAGTACTAGCAGCCAGCCGACATGTCAACAGAAACTGAGTATTTCGGTCCAATATGAAGCGATATCAAAAATTTATTAAATGGCTTCTGTAATATACTCGTACCTTATTCTGAAGTAGGTGTTGAGATCTACAGCATTTAGCACAGAGAACAGGATTTGAATTTTCAACATTAATGTCAAGTCAGTGTTTCTATATAGTTCGGAGACTTGATGCATTACCTAAATCATTTTCGACAGACTTCAAACTTTCATCAACATCCCTCTTTGCTCGATACTGAAGATCAAATTGTCCGGCTGGAGAGGATGGGCAACAAAGCACTCTGGCAACGAACCAGTCAAGAAGATATTACCCAATACTCATCCAGAGACTGACTGACTTACTAACTGAGTTTTCATCATTGGCCTTTACAGAGAAGCTGATACATTCCATATGGGACTCAAATACAGAGAAATAAATCAAAGAAACTTTTAAGAACGGAAATGTATGGGAGGAAGGTCAGAAGGAAACTGAAATGGATTAGACATACACTGGGGAGACCTATCGAGTGGAACCTGAATGAGACGCGATGATTTGGGTCTCTGACGGTGACATGAAGAAATGTCAAGAGGAAATGAAAGCTTTTGGGTAGCTGTGATTGATGACAGAGAATCGAGTGGAATGGGAATGTGCCACTGACGCTTTATGTTCCATACTGAACGCAAAGAACGAACAACAATATTTTTTCCGAAAAATTATACAATTTTTATAACAACTTATGATGAAATTGAGAAGTCCTTCGCGTTTTCCTTTTAATCGTTTTTAGAGTGGTACATCTGTCAAATTATCTTGACACACAAACATATACCAGTATCACTCCTAACTTCTTATTTCATTTTTTTTTCGGTAAAATTCAACTGCTTAACTGCATCTATCCATTATTCATGTTAATTATTTATTTCTACAGAATTGGTATTGTCGGAACGTGGTTATGTAGATATGTTACTGATTGTCAGAGATTTATATATGATACCATTTCCAAAAATTGATGCAAATTCAATTAATGGCTTATCCACTGATTCTGTACTCGGCAATTCATCAGATTTATGTACAGCTTTGTTCCCGTGTATCGATGAATTGGTTAAATCGCATGAGAAAATTTTTCGTGTTCTTGCCGGTCTACATGTGGAACGTGAAGATCATGTTGTGTCTTCCTTAGGAGCCTATTTGGTGAAGTTAGTGAGTTATACCAACTGATTTCTTAATTTTAAATTTCTTCCACATATATCATTACTGTTTTTATTTTTTGTAAAATTTCTCCCTTTCAATAACAGAAACTGATAGGAACAACCAATTAAAAATGTTTTGCTAATGAATGACATGAGTTTATTCGTTTCTGTGATTTCCCGTTGATACATATGATCATGCTTTGTCTTCTTTTGGATACTTCAGTTAAACGTGCCTGCTTCACAGTTAGTGGTGGTGTTCGAAATGTATGTCGAATCTAGCACCTATCTCTTCAAGCGCCAGATCGTTATCTCTACTGTCATTGATTATTACTGTTTCTTACAACGTAACACAGTTTTGTCTTAATATAGTAATAGTAATAATAACAGTAATAGCTAGAAAATTAGTCTGTACACAGTGCAGCAGTCTCAGCGTGCTTTATTGTGAAGTATTTATTCTATGTGCAGAATCTTCAAGTAAAACAATAATAACTGATAATGCACTATTTGTAGCAATGTTGTTCTATCTGACTTATGCTCCACCGCTCCACAGTGCATTTCCTCCATTTGCTTCGAAAAATTCATAGCAGTAAGTAGAAATATATATATGAAAATGGAGCAAATGTGACGTATTTTCTGTATATGGAAATTTATTCATATTTTTATTTTTATTGGATTCCGAGTGGAACGTAAGGCTTCAACATTACATCTCCATTTCACTCTGTTTTCTGAAGTCTATTTTAGCCAGCCTAACGATACCCATAAGCTTTCCCTTCCCTCTCACACGATCTCCAATTCACCCTCGGACCTATGCCCAACTCTAGTTGTTTCCCATTCGAGTCCCACTTGAGGGCCTGGCGCATACTGTCACTCAGCGGTCTCCTCACTGTGTGTCCAATTCATCCCCATCACCCTTTGCATGTTTGTCGGTTGATTAGCTCTTTGTTGGTTCGTTCCTACAGTTTCTTCTTACTAATCCTTTCTAGCCATCTAATCTTCAGTATAACGAGAAGGCAGCTGTTGAAGGCTTCATGTGCTTTTGGAAATGTGTGGGCGGTTGTTACTTCCCGGCTGCCCACACCGTGGGAGTTGATTGATTATTCGGGTACCTGAAACAGAAAGCGAGTTAGTGTTGCGTGACGGCAGAACCTAGGGGACAGCTGCTTGAGGCCGGTCACACACGGCCTGTATGAACTGGTTTCTTGGTTTGGTTCCGTATTAGTAAACTTACCGCCGGTTACGGACTACCGTAGGGTAAGTCGGGATGTACAATTTTCGGGGTCGACCTTTTCTAACCTACTCTCTCCGGAGTGGAGACAGCATAACTGGCATGCTGGTCGTCTAAGGGAAACACCTAACTGCTGTTGCATCCCTGTTCCCCAGCAGCAAAACTTCGCCCACAGACCTGAGTGTAGTGTGAAAAATTCTTACACTATACTGGCAACTGCTTTTACTCTAATCACTATCCTAACAACCTTCCTGGCATGGTAGGACTTACATGAACAATAGTTCCAGCCAGTGTAGCTTGTTGGGTTATTGCGATATGCAAGCCCGACTACCACGTCAAGGTATCAGCTATCGGTCGGGTGTGGTGACTCGATCTGCTGATAATCGGTGCAAATTTCTATGTTGAAACCAGTCAGTCAGTCAACTGCTGATAGAAATTATTGCATAGGTTGCATTGATTACTAATTGCCACTGATTATGTCACTTGTTTTACATTCATCAATCCATCACTTGACCACATTCTCATATCTTTATCTAAAAATAATGTTACAACTAGAACTTTTTTAAGTTCCTTATCAGATACTTTTTGTTCTTTTGACATGGTAGGGTGATACAGAATAAAAAGTAGAGAATATTAGTGTTTTGGTAAATATCAAGATTTTACTCAGCAATAAGTTGTTCAAATCAGTGAATGTACACAGAAAACTAACCAACCTCATGTCAATGATCGGTTTATTGTTGAATTTCATGCTATGCTTGTGTAGTGTTTCAGATGAATTTGTTTGTATTTTATAGTTACAAGACAACTCATGAAGAGGAACTCTTTGATTCTGCTTTTTTCAGGACAGTTAACATGAATACGTTTCTTTAAATGATGTTTGATGGCTGTAGAATAATGATTTTCCTAGTATAGTATATGTTTACTGCTGGCAGTATTCTTTACTGATTCGGGGTCTTTTCAGTCTTCCACATTTATATCTGATCTGTGTAACTGTTGAGGTTAAATTTCAAGGCAATTTCTAAATGCATCTTTGTGTTGTGTTCTGTGACCTTAATAATGTAATTGCAGAGCTTTTAAACCACTACTTTCAGCTCTAACTTCATTTTGAAGCTCTTTTTTTGAAGAACGTTACATCGTTAAGTACATCCACCCAAACTTTGTAACCCATTATTGTCTCCTTGTGATTATGTGAAGCTTCAATTGTTGTGTATATATAATTTTTTATCACAGAATATATTGACGCATCAGTTTCTTACTGTTTCTACGCTAACAGAGTAATTATTTCATTTATCTACACTGTTTTTGTACAGTTTGATGCAGATTGTCTTTCATCTTTATCTCAATTATATGGTCAATTTTTATTTGCTCAAAAACGTATCCGTCAACGTTTACAACTGTGTAAAAGTCATCCACAGATTGCATCATTTTTCCAGGTATGTTATCATCATTTTCATAAAATATAAATGTCAGTTTTTTTATACCGAGCACAATCTTGACTAATGACGCCATTTTTCACTACTTAGAATGCAGTATGTACATCAATAAGCTTCTTCGTTATCGATGATAATTATGGCTGTTAGCTTTCTAGAAGTCTTTGAATTAGGCAAAGACATTGGTTTGTACAGAACAGGCAGGATTGTCAACACTTATTTCACCGGTTTCTCTTCAGCTGCGTAGAATTTTCAAAGGCGACATGATATCAGTTAACAGAAGACTTCAAAAATAATAAAACGTTTTCAAGAACTACACAGAAGATTTAAGGTTTAACAAAAGAATGTTTGAATACATTAGGAAAGGAGATGTGTAATAAAGTCATGAGGCGGATAATCAGGTGAAAAATAACGAGTAAGTTGCACTGTAGTCTAGTGAGTTCAGTTCATATCATAGAAACAAAAACAAGCAAAATCGTAATATAGAGGAAGGAAAGAAGTCCAAGCAAATGATTATGTAATTAAATAAATGGAAGAGTTACTAGGACTAAGAAAGACTGATAACCGTCTCATTCTGAACACAGAATTTGCGTCTTAGGTGTTTGACAGTTATTGATTGCTACGGTAAACTTGAGGATAACTGAATCATATAGTCTATTGATAAAGTTAAAGTATTTCATCATATCCAGCTCAAGGTCAGTTTCAATGAGTTGACGGGCGATAGCACTATTGAAACCGTTTGACCTCTTAAGTGGCAGGCTTTTCACCATATATATTTGAAGAATCCCTTCTTTCTTCTCTTTTTAATTTTTGAAGTGTTCAGGATTGTTTTTGATTTACGTGATTTGTAATTTTCAAATTTCTGTATTCAGTACTTTGTTTATTTTTTGTTCATAATTATTGGTCGTGTCATTTAGTTGCAAATATTTATCGGTTAAAAATATAAACAAACACTAAAATCTAGTTTTATTAAGACAAAATCGTTTGTGTAAAGACAGACTAGCAATTAGATTTATATTTTATATTTTAAGCATCTTTCCAACTTGACTAAGAATCTTTTTTGTAAGCAGTAGACGGGGCGGGGTGTGGACAGGGAATTCTTGTGCCCAACAGACACTGAGACAGCAGTTTTAGTGATACGCACTGATATTTGATATACCTTGAGATTGCAACAGTTTCAGAGTAGATGCTTAAAGTCGATAGTCGGTAATTCGCCATTCCATTCTTTGTCACTGCTAGCCTATAACAAACAATCTTAGATAGTCATTTTAGAAGGATTCGCAGTGTCTTGCATAAGCAGTGAAAGCTAATCACGTTTAAAGAGTTTGCAAATTCCTGTCAATGTCGCATACTACATTAGTTCTTAAAAGATGTGGGGAAGTGTTACTGTTTCTTCTATTAACATTAGAATGCGATATTGGTTAATAATCGAATTACATAATTTTATCCTTATAGACTTAAGTACACACTGATGAATTAGGACGACAAAAGCTTCGCAACTAAACCACAGCTCGAAACACTTCAGAATTGATAATTCTTGCACCGTGTAAATTTGGTCCGCTAAGCTTTTAGTATCTTAAAACTAGGGATTGATTTCTGAAAGTGTTTTTATGTGGTTCACTGACTTAAGCACCTACTTTCAGTCAGTCCCGCTTCACCTACTTCATGTGCGTCAGTGGCACAGTGGTTAGGACTCTCGCCGACCATGCACATAGTCCGGGGTTCGATCCCCTGCCGGCGCACACCCGATATCTATGTCAGCTGAATTTGGGCTACCGATATCCATGCTGAAAATTCCACACTTGTACTGAAAATACGGTGTGGAGTCAAGCTGTAAATCAAAAAAAAAAATCTCTTACACAAAAAAGTGAGGCACATAGGCGAATACATAAAAAATCTGATCCAAGTAGCAGCTGAGTACTAACTTCAAAAATTTATGAAGTGTACAAAACCGTAGGAATATAAATAGTTGTAAAGAAGTACAAAAAATTTAGATACCTAGCAAGAATGTTGCCATATATATTATTTTATTTTCTGCTCTTAATACTTGTTTCCTGTCTAACGTGTAAATATATATATATATATATATCGCTATATAAGAATACGTCAAATTGTTGACCTTTATGTACACATAAGTACAGATGGTTACTGTTCTTCTTTTAGTTTACCCTGTAGTCTTGATAACTATTTTGATGAAGGTGGAAGTTACCTTTAGATTACCCAGTATGATTCACTCATTTGTTGGTTTTGGCTTTCAGTTTTCTAAGAATATGATAGATTTTAGTTGAAAAACATGCAGTTATTATTTTCTGAAGTATACATTTCATATAGTAGGTTAATGTGTATTCCGGAATTTGTCGAAATGTGCCTATTTATTTAATCATCCCACCCTCATTTATTACCTGTAATCCACCTGATTTCTGAGGGTAATTCATACCGTGTTTGCTATGAAACTTTCGAATAACTATCGATCATAGGATCTTGGACACTGCATCAGTGAGGGTAACTCATATCTGATTTTCAAATGAGATTTTTGCTAAACCTTCTTTATGGTTGGCTTCATTAGCGATCTAGACCAACCAGTTTGTATTTTTGACGAATTTCTGTTTTCTGTCTGATGAGTACAGAACAAAATCTAATCAATAATTACTCAACAAAGTGTTGATAAATGTCTGGGTTTCAACTGTTGGATGTTATTGCTTCCTCAGTCCCTGTTCTTCTCACAACTTTTTAATCTTTGTCAGACCTTAAGAATCAGTATTCACTTAATACAGGGCTAAATTGGGATCAAGTGTAATGCGCTCACTAGCCAACTGTTCTGACCAATGTTTCAGTTGTCAAGAGTTAGGAGTTATATAAGAGGGCCGTTTTTTGATCGTCTTTATCTCTTCCACAAACCAGATTAATTGACAGATGTTACGTAACGAAAATGTCTGCTTCATTTATTTCGCTTTCATAAACTACCATCATTATCAATAGTTAGAATAAAGCACCATTCACCTTTCCTGGCCCTCATAGTTTACTGTAACCAGCTTGAATGTGGCTTCACATATCCACTAGTTCTTACTTTTCAGTGATTACAGATGTCAACTGTCTTCACACGTATGACCATAGGGACAAACCTGACCAGGACGAATGCTTACATTCGTTCTTTGCTAAGTAATAAATGAATACGCTAAAATACAAACTTGATGTTATTATGTGTTAGTCAAGCGCAAAAAGGTTTTACAGGATACCATTAGACACCCGAACATACGATTACAATCCAGGAAAGTTTTCCAAAAAAGATCAACAATTTATCATGGACGCCATCTAAGAACACATATAGCAGTGCCTAAGGCATCAGTCCTTCCAGTTAGAATAGCTTTTCTTATTCACTTCGATGTACTGTTCCCTTTGAGGGAAGTTCAAGGTAACAGTTGTCTTTGAAGAGATACGTGTATACTATCCTATTAGTTAGTGCTTACTCGTCAAATAGGCTTCTATCTAAACCGATTGTAATTGTTTATTCTGTTTACAATTTTCTATGTTATTTCTCTCTTCCTATGTCACAAGCAATCCCAGTAAGCGGAATAATTAAAATATACTAACCAGCAGTAGGATAGTGGATTCGTGCTTTACTTATTCTGCATACAAGTTGATATCAGTTCTGATTTGTCATTCTTGTTTCATCTTTTACTATTATTATATACCTTTATTATCGCTTGTTTTGACACTGACAGTTTTGATACTGCATGGGATATATGTGTGTGAAACAGATATAGGTGTGGAGTTGAGGTAAATGAACAATTAGGGTTGATAGTAATTGATACACTTCGCTGTTGAAGTTATACGAAAATCTACCCGAGTTAATTTGAACAGATAATATCACTGACATTAAAAGTTGTGTTGCAATTCACACTTTGTTATGAAAAAATTGCTTATTGAACTAATTAATATTAGTGACAAACACCTCGGTAGGTCGCACACATTTTTTCATAATAATAAATATTATTAATGTGTTTAGTTAATTTACTATTCAAATATGTCTGATTACGCAAACATGCATTGTACTTATATATATATATATATATATATATATATATATATATATATACTTATTCAACTTTACCTTTGTCTAAAAGTTAGGTCATGATGGTGATCGCAACTGGAATATTGATTATAAATTTTGTGACATCATGTGACATAGTAATTAATAATAAGCACTTTCAAATTGCTTGCCATTCCTACTAATTCTCTTTTTAGTATTTTAAAGTTCACAAAATAATGAATGATCTAAGACATTCATTCATTTATTATAATAAATAATACTGATAAAATATTATCTTTCCAGTTGATCTGTATCTATTAACCGTAATCATTAATACGGTTTAATTTGTGGTTATAACGACTTCCAACAGTGTTTCAGTGTGGATATTGTCACAAAACGATATCAGTTAGGGAATCATTTTTTAAAATTATGAAATACTGGACAGCTATTTTTCATTCTAGTTTGAGAATCTTTAGTGGTGCGCATCAACGACTGCAAGAGTTGTCGAACTCAGGACTATTGCACTGTGGAGTTAGCCGGCTGATTATTCAACCGTTGACTTGTGAATTGTAGCTTGTGTCAATTTACGATATAGTGCCACGGGAAGACATCCGAGTGGTTGAATGTCCAGTGAACTCACCTGGTAACTTGAAGGTGCTAGGTTCAGTCCTTGTTGGAATCGTTGGTATCCACTGTTAAACAGTTCTAAACAGCTGTTCAACACTTAATGATTGCTGAAAACAATCATTTTTGTTAAACTTAATGAAATGTATTCATCATCAAATAAAAATGCCTCTATCGTCTTCATTTATCGAGTTAAAACAAAACAAGTACGCAATTGCAATATGATGCAGTTTGAATAGATTTATAAGTTTATTGGGTACATTACTTGTTAAATGGGCATATCTTGTGAGCTACAGTTCATATAATTAACATATCTCCTATTATTCTGTTTCGTTCATCTATTGTATAT